CTCTTCAGCCTCCTTCCATCGCCCTTGATTCTGGTAGGTCAAGGCCAGATTGGCCATGCTGGTCAGTGTGTCAGGATGCTCCTCCCCAAGCACCCTCGTCATGATCTCCCGGACTTGCACAAACAGCTCTTCAGCCTCCTTCCATCGCCCTTGATTCCAGTAGGTCGAGGCCAGGTTGGCCATGCTGGTCAGTGTGTCAGGGTGGTCTGCCCCCAGCACTTGCTTTCTTAATTTGAGAGACTGAGCTGACATCTTTTCTGCATCCACAGAGTTGCCCGTGCACAGGCAGTACAGCACTGCTCTATTTAGCAGTGAAGTCCACTCCGTCAGAGAATCTTTGGCTGGTGGCTTTTTGGTGGCCGTAAACTTCACGTGGGGAAACAGGTGCTGACAAGTATCCCATGTCCCATACCCTCCATGCGGGAAACCGGCGTTGAGATTGCAAATAAACTGCTTCTTCCACTGTTCTTGCTGCCCGTGCACTTCCAACCACTTCTGCATCGCCAGCTGCACCAGGCGATGCATTTCCAAGCCCATTCCCACCCCGGTGGCCGTGATGAATGAGTAGCTTCGGAGCACGGAGATGTCGTCTTCAAGATCGTCATTGCTATCGGTGTTTCGTTCGTCATCAGTGTTGCTATCATCGTCATCAGTCACGTTCTGGTGCGGGCTACCAGCTCGGTCAGGATCGCGTGCCGGTGCGCTTGTGACTTCCTGCCGCCGATGCAGTAGAAGTTCAGGAATCCCTTGTCGGTCAAAGAAGCTCATGAGCGCGAGTAAGTCGGCTGCCGTTCGCCGAATCTCCCGGATACGGTCGAATGATATCTGCCACGTGATAATGATCGAGTTTTTTGCCTCCACATCTCGCCGAAGCTGCCCGCCTTCACAATCAAGGAGACTGGCGCGTTTGCGATCACTTTTCTGGAATTGCTCCAGATACTGCCGGACCGAGCACCGTGGCGCCCGCTCAGAGATGTAGGCAGCTGCTTGTACAATCGCGAGTGGCATGAATTCCAGCGCCGCAGCGAGCTCAGCCGCACCATCAAGGCTACTGTGAGTCCGTACCTTCCTCTCTAATAGTGTGGGCGCATTCGCTTCGCTCATCGGGTCGATCGTGAGGATGTTGCCCAGCTCGACTAGTTTGAGTGCTGCATCTCGGCTCCGTGTGGTGATCAATGTCCGTCCGTGTTGGCACTGCGGCAGATACAACGGGAGGGGGCGTGTGTGATTTGTCTGCTGCTCTTGGACCCAACCTCGATTCTCGACCAGGAACCTAGCGTCATCAACATTATCTAGGATCAGCATCCAGCTTCCCTTCCCCTTGTCCCACAGCCAGTCGTGTACGAGCTGGAATATGTTGATCTTCGGGTTGTGTCGCCCAGGGATCTTGACACAGTTGGCGATGTCGCGGTAGCTCTGCTCAAATCGTGCCACATTGCTCGCGTGCACCCAGAATACCCATGTGTCGGACGATCGTTCTCGGGTGCGATAGGCATACTCGATGGCGAGCTGCGACTTGCTATGAAAATATTAGCTGAACGCATGGCAGGATGCGATCGTGCTTACCCAACGCCCCCGAGCCCGACTAGTGCCGTGCGCGAGCCTGGTACCGCACACCGGTCGTGGAGCTGATCGAGAATTGTTCCGCGCTCTACGAAGTCGTCGTCGCGACCGAAGGGAATGAGAATTGATGGCGCTGGTGGAGTTTCTGCTCGCTCTGGGTCCGGCCCGCTGTTAGCGCCGATCGCCTCCACATCACGGGGAGCTTACCGGGAGGGAGGTATTGGTGGAACTCAGCCTGAACTGGACCGTGGATGTTGCCGGCCTGAAGGCCAGAATTGGCGCCACTAAACGATATAGGGGCAGCCATATCGCGTAGAGGAGTCAGTTGTCAAGCTGTAGAAAAAGCAGGCTGAGCTGGCGATGTTGCAGGCAAGGAGGAAGGCCATTCAGCCTCGTCAACCCCGCCCCCGCCTTAGCCTTGCGAGACCGTTTCGACGCACTTCATCGGACTGGTGGGCCGGGCACAGCCTGACGACATCTAGTGAGACCCTCGTATAGTTCTCGGGATTGTCTCATCTCATCATCGCTACCATGGCTGACCCTCTTAGCATTTCCGCAGGTGTAGTAGGTCTAGCAGTCCCAGCCTTACATGCCGCCAGACTCTTGTTAGACGATCTGCGAAACATCAAAGATGCACCAAAGGCCGTGAAGCGCCTTGAAAGTGATGTCCAGTCCGTCGAACGGGCACTCACCAGCCTCAAAGCTGTCGAGGAGCAAGAATGGGAGGTGCTCGGCCCAAATGTCATGGAGCAGTCCAAGCAGACCATCAGTAGCTGCACTGAAGCGTGCAACCTCTTCCGAGACCAGCTGCAGAGATGGACCAGGCACTCGGATGGCAAGCTAGCCTGGCAGGACCGAGCCCATATCGGGATCTTTAAGCAGGCACAGATCAAGGCCATGTCAGAGCAATTACAAAACTGCCAACTGAGCATCAGCTGTACCGTAGGTATCGCGACCTTGTGAGTACTTGAAATTCCCACGTTCTGACTGGACTAATATGACACGATAGGTACAGTTCTGTTCGCCACAGCATATCACGGAAGAGATTCGACAGACGATTTCTACAAGGCAGACTGATATTGCGAATGCTCTCGCTGGAGCAGATAAACAATTGATCGTCCTGGAGAGTAAAGTGGAAGAGCTAGATATTAGCGACGCTGATCAAGAAGACGGAGCCGGTACCGAAGGCCAGTCATATGCACTAGGACAGTTGCAGCAGGAACGAAAGGCACTCGACGTGTCGCGCAAGCTGCTGGAGGAGCTGTTGTCAAAGGCACAGGAAGAGGCAGTTGCAAAGGCTGCAACAGGGGAGACCACCACTAGCACTAGCTGGTGTATGACTGGCTGTGCGATGAGCGCAAGGGGACGTGGGTCTTGATCTTGGATAACGTCGATGATGCAGACTTTCTGTTTGAAGCTCGCAGTCTGGGCCAGGATCAGGGCCGAGAGCGAGGGACGAGCCACAACATCGATCCGCGGCCACTCGTGTCGTATCTACCACAGTGCCCTCATGGATCAATATTGATCCTCGACATTTTGGAATCAAGGGCGATGGAAGGAGGCTGAAGAGCTGTTTGTGCAAGTCCGGGAGATCATGACGAGGGTGCTTGGGGAGGAGCATCCTGACACACTGACCAGCATGGCCAATCTGGCCTTGACCTACCAGAATCAAGGGCGATGGAAGGAGGCTGAAGAG